AGAAAATACAGAATTTTGTTTCATATGTATAGAAAGGGGAATGAAAAAACAGCAGTATTTAGAAATATGTTGATATACTTCAGCAGAGACTTCATAATGATAAATTTCGACATGTTTTCTTTTGAGTTTTCGTTGATAATTCGATCAGCTTATAGAAAGTAACATCATGAACAGACAACAAGTTTGAGTCAAACAATAGCATCTTAACTATCACTTTATTGTGCAAATAATGAGATATAAATGACAATTCATTTAAATCGAATATTTCTAACTATTCTTTATATAAATAAGAAGTATCTTAGTCAGTTTTACTTTAAATAAGTTCTATAAAATCTATCAATCAATAATAAATTTAATATAAAAAGAACTGATCATTGTTTTTTATTTTTCTTAATATGATGCCTACAATAAAAATAACTAAAGTATCTGAAATAAGATATTTTCTTCTCTCAGTATATCTCTTCAGTGATAATAAGAAAGGAGATATCTAACATTACTCGACAGCTCCAAGTATATGCGCATCTGTCAAGCTTTTATAATAGAACATTTACTTATTTCTCTTTCTTCTCTCATGTATACAATCTAAGATCTCTATACATTAGCGTAATCAGGGTTTTTAGACCAATGGGCAAACTTCTCTTGTGTCGAAGGAAACCGATAGGCGAAATGGGCAAGGTTTTTATTAATGGGCCAGAACTTTTTTGGTCTAATAAAGTATTAATAACGCAAAAAAAAACTTGCATAAGTTAATGTTGAGGGTTCTTCCAATATGTATCTGTGCAGCACACATGAACATTTACCCTACGAACTACATCATTTCACATCTTAGTTTTTTCCTTTAATGCTTTCACATATATGTCATGGGATTTTCCCTTTTCTTTCTATGCGTTACTCTATATGTATATACGTATATCTACACATACATATGTTTGTGTATGTTCTCTTCATTTGTGCTCTTGTTTCTCGTCTCTTGGATCTAGTCTTCTCTATCTTTACATGGTTAGCGTTTTTCCAATAAAACTGAACTCGTGTTCATCCAAGCTTATAGTTAAAAACAAGGTTACCAGATCTTCTGAAAAGTCAACGAAGGTTCTTAATTTTGCACATTTTCCCTTTTTTTCTGATTTTTGATAAATTCCAAACGTTTTTAGATGGTGACGTTACCAGCGAAATTAATTACGACTATAACTCATTAATATTATAGATCCATTTTGCGCTACTTTCTTTTCTTTCTTAATCTTTTGTAGTTTCTGAGTTCTGTATCCACTGACGAATACTTTAATAATATCAGTAGATTTTTGCATTGCTGAACTTAAGAATGATTGTTAATTATTCTTTTTTGAACAATTTTGTAAACATATTTTAGCTCACAAATATTTATTGAAGAAATTTTGAACAAAGAAAAAATTGAAAAATAATATAGAATTTATTTTCTATAACCTTTATTATTTTTCGTAAGATTTTTTTTGATCTGCATAGTTTATATATATGATTTGTTTGAGCATATTTTTCGTAAACAGAGTTTTGGGCTCCGTAAAAGAATTCTATACTAGATGTCTTTTGCTAGCTTTTTTTGCATTAACTAACAATTGAAAATCATGTAACTGCGAACTAAGGAGATTAATCATAGTTGGATAAAATGAATGCTCTCATTCACAGACCAATTAGTTTAAAACATGAGCTGCCAATAGCGTACATAGACTGAGATGTTTACATTTCAAGATATTTACAGTTTATCATGTGTTCACAATACAAAATTTCATCAACACTTAATTTTCTTTTTTTGTCATGGTTCGATGGAACACGACTATTTACATCAGGAGAACCAATATCACACGTATTCAAAAGCGATTTGAAAGCAATCAAAATTTTTTGTTTATTAACCTTATAATTAAACTAAATGTTGTCTTAGACTTCGTAGAATTTGCTTTTTAATATGTGTGATATTGTTTTTTTCGTATGTAAATGGGTCTGTTCCATCCAATCATGACGAAAAAAGAAAACTAAGCGTTGATGAAATTTCGTAGTGTGAACATATAACAAACTGTGAATTTCTTGAAACTCGAATATCTTGGTGTGTGTACTCTATTAGCAGCTTATATTTTTAATTAGCTGATTTGACAGTGACAGCATTCATTTGATCTGACTATGATCAATCTCCTTAGCATACAGTATACAATCTTTCACTCTAAGCTATGTAATGTTTTTAGAAATAAAGTATCGATCGATAAACCAAAAAAAAATGAAACATTTTGTGCAAGTATGTCAACATGATAGTCCTTGGTTTCCAAGAAGTTACTCTTTATGAGTAGTTTCCGATTTCAAAGAAAAAGAAGCGATTCTTTCCTTCATCTTTTCTTAATTATTCATAGCATAAACAAATAAAAAAGTGCATGTGTAATTCAGATGAAAGAAAAAAAAATAGAGTTATTATCTGATTCAAAAATAAATAAGCCATTCTGAAAAAGGTAAAATTGCAATGGACAAGTCTCCAAATGGAATTAGCAATTGTCCATTTGTCCTTCTTTTGGCTACGCCACTGTCTCTATATCACAATTGAGCAGACAGTGCATTAACTATGCATTGTCGCTTTATGTTGATAAAGAACAAGGGGCTAGAACAAAAGACTATGGAAAATATACTTTCTTGTTCTATCAAGCCTTTTCAAGCTATCTAATAGAACTTCACAATAAAAAAAATCATTCAAAATGTCTTTTGTGTCTGCAGCATATTCACATGGGTGACTCGAACCGATCTGAGCCAGACACTGCTACCTATCCAGCGTGCATGAGACGAAAATTTTCGCATCTCACCTTACACATGATTAATTTAAGGATCACCATCGTATCCAGTGGTGATCAAAACGTTCTAATAGTCGGAAACGAGTTTGACACGATCGAATGATTTACATTACAAAGCATATTGGCTGCTGCCAGCGAAGTTGATTGATTATGTTTCGTTGTATACAGAACAAAAAGAATTCAGTGTCACGATGACTCTGAGCAGAACGATGTTTTTTTTTTGTATTGAAGAAATGGTAAAGAACGAAAAAAAGTGGCTTCTGTATATATAACCGTGCAAAGAAACCTTGTGTGCGTTACTATTTAGTTACATTATGCCATACTACATACACACAATATTTGTTGTGCATCGCCAAAAACGAACGAAAAAGAATCTATTTTCGTCGTGTCTTTTGATGTAAGGCAGCAACACAGAATAAAATGTTTCATAAGAATGCTGTAAACAGACCACATGTCTTTGGCTCTTCAAAACAATTGTTTTATATAATATTAATTCGGTTCTAGAAAGTTGAAAAGAATTCAACTTCATGATTCTGAAGTCTACAGGTGATTTGTAGACATGTGCAAGAATATCAGTTGTAATTTAGAAACTTGAAGCCATGGTACATCATCCTGCGGGAAGAACGGATTCCACCAGTTTTGACCATGATTCAAAACCAAACAATAATGTGAAAAAAATGTGAGACTTATATTTAGTTTTAAGTTTATGAGTACGCCATGTATTGTTTAGTAAAACACCTACTATATGATCATCCGCTGCTTAAGAACTAATAAAGAATCGACGATATTGATATCTCAATCATAACTCAATAAAAAAAAAGAGTGATTTGAAGATCATACTGGTCTAGTGATCTCCTATCAGAGTTCGATTCAGATCAACTGTCTGAATATTATGCAGGTACAAAAGGCACTTTCAATGTTGTTTTTTCACTTAAAAGTTCGATCAGTGACCATGAAAAGCTTTCAAGAACAAGACGATATGTATTGCATACTCGTTGGTTCTACTTGTCACTGTTTCTTCTTTATTGACATGAGGTAACGATACATAGTTAATGCATTCGAGCTCGACTCGGATTGAGTCAGACACAAATAGTTGTTTACGACGAAATATTCAATCTGTTTTTTTTTTCTTTTTTTTCTCTCCTCCTCCTTCTCTTTCTCTTTCTGGAAAAGACTATAAATACACTGTTATTTGAAGCAATTTCATACCAATCTTCATTCATTGATCAAGCAAGTAAGCAACTCTCCTTCTCTTTCCTCTCCTTACCTTATTTTACCATTATAATCATTCCATATTTATCATCTTTCATTTTCTCTGCTGTTCCTAATCTAAACGTTCCTTCTTTGAGGTGAAGATGAAAATACGTTCAATGCTGATATTTACACGTTATCGACATTTTGCTATTTGCAGATTTCACATCGTTGATGTTTTTTTCTTTCGAAATTCTACTATATAATACATTTGAATGAGTTCTTCCATTCCACGCAAGATAATTTAAACAGATCTAATAAATGATCAGAATATTCTGAAATTTTCAGTCGAAACCTACGTTTCATTCTTGAAACATTGAATTAATAAATTTTAAAAGAAACATGTTCATGAAAATCTATCGAAAATTCTCTAACGTAATCAAAAAAGTTGAGTACTGCGAAAATTCAATAAATATTTCCGATACTTCAAAAATCTTTTACATGTTTTTCAGCATCAGAAATCAAAAACCAATTCAAACCCATATTCGAGTTTCAGAAATGCATTCTCAATCTTACCAAAAGGTTTTTAACATTAGATGTTTGACAACATAAAATATTAGATTCCAACAACCTTACCGTAATAAATACTGCCAAACTTTGAAGAATCCTACTAACAGTATGAAGTCCTAACACTTAACCATTGACAAACTCTTCAAATCCTTTTCATTCTCAGATTCTTCAGGATTATTGAAGTGTCAAAGTTTTCAAGTCTGTCGGAGTCGTAAAATCATGTAGTCATCATGTCTACTAAATCAAAGTCTAGAATATAATCACAGTTCTAAAGTCATCAAGTCCGTCAAAATCAAAGTCTTGATGTCAATCGAAGCTCTAGATTGTGAATGTGCATGCAAGTTTAAGGATATCTTCTATATCCAAACTGATATCCATATTCTTGATAACTACTAGTTCTTCTTTTGTCATCTGTTGTATTTTTATTTATTAAGAAAAATGGCAACACAACCAGGCTCAGCTGTTGGTATGGCTGAAAGTTATAATGAAAACTCTGATCCTCAACTTGCTATCATTAGTTTAATGATACCTTATATTCATATGGGTATTGATGAATTAGATATTTCATCATCTTCACCATTGATTATTGCTGATTTTGGCTCATCTCTTGGAAAAAATTCAATAATAGCTATGAAAATATTTCTAAAATATCTTCAACAAACAAATAAACTTGTTACATCACCACTTATCGTTCATAATGATCTTCCAACAAATGATTGGACAACACTTTTTCAACT